TGTCCTCAAAACATATTGCAAAACAAGAACTATTAAGTATCGGCACAGAGACAGCACATTAAAAGGAAAATAAACCAAATGAAAAGAAAGAGAGAGTTCCAAATACCAGGTCACCAGTGAGGGGAAATGTATCTGCAGAGAGATATTGAAATGAGTGTTCTAGGGCCTGGATATATACAAACATCTCTCCAGATACAGAAGCAAATGTAGAGTGTCCACACCTCTAGGTTTGTAAATAAGAATAATGATACAGGGGATGCAAAGAGCTATATTCCACCATGATTTTGTCATTTGTCAAGGGAAATACATATTCAAAATCCACATTGAATTCAAAGGCCTTGTATTGAAAACATTTCCAGCTGTTTTATACACTTAAAAAGCAACAGTAGAATATACAAGCTGCAAGATATAGAGGCCTTTATATTTCATTTTCTCCAATTTCTCTCCTTGTTCAAACACAAGGCTACTAGCAGCTTTTATGTTGTTTGCTCTAGTAGGTTGTTCAGCCAACTTTTACTTGAGATCGTACAGACCAAATAAATAAAATAAACAGACCTGGCCTAGAGCGCACAGACTGAACACTGGCCTTCTCTCCTCTTTTCCCATTCAGTCACCTGAGACATGTTAGGATGGCAGAGTAGTTGCTTGGTGGTGGTTGTGAGATTCACAGTGTTTTGCCTGCAACACATATAAATATATGTATTTTTTTTGCTTTGCTTTGTGTTTGTGATGAATGGAGCAAATGTTTAAGTAAATAAATACGTACTTAAATAAATAAAGTCAAAGAAGAAGAAAGAGGAATGGAAAAAAATCTATGTTCAAGAACCTTTGACCTGAGCAGCAGCGATTCATTCCAGCCCCGATGACAAGAAATACCCTTTCCTACACTGTCATTTTAACTGTGATTCTCTGTAGTCCAATCACACCTTGGGAAGAATCACGTGACTGTGAACTTAGACACGCAGGGAGCTGGATTCCCAGCCAGTCCTCTCACGAGATTTCACGTAAAAGAGTTATAGGGCCAAATTTAAGGTCAACACTGGAAATAAAGTCCTCAAACAGGGAAGGAAAAGGGACGGGGGGATTGAGGGAATTAAGGTAATGTGTGTATATGCAGTCATTTTAAAAATTAGACACAAATTAAAGTTGTTTGCATTATAGGCTTCCAACTTGCAAAAAGAAAGATGCAAAAAATGTCCATTGTTGAACAGGGAATCTTGTTGTCTGAAGCTTTGCAAAATACAGTACTTTGCACCATTGGTTGGTACATTTGCACTTGGACTTAAGACTTGCTTATATCACTCATCACGTGAATTTCTTCTTATTTGCCTCTAACATTCCAATTTATAGCTGGAATACTTCGACTCTGGACACACGTGTAAAGGGTTACAGTGGGATAAGGAGAACATAATACACATGTGTAAAAAGACCCAAAAAATCAACCTTCCTGTCCTGGACTTTGACATAAGAAGCTCTATTTCAGTCTGCGTTTTCCTTTGCAAGGAGCCAAAGAAAGAACCCTAGTGGGATGGCTTTGATTCTGTTGTTTGGGGAAGCACATTATCTCAAATATGTCTTCCATCCATACAGTACTGCACAGAGCTGAAAAGTGCGACATCCTACCCACGTAAAGAATGGACGCTCCAACTACAATGGGACATTAATGAGATTTGGTTCTTTAGCAGATTTAAGCAAATTATTCATACTGCACCTGCTTATAATTATCTCTATTACCATGTGCCTATATATTTATACATAAACACACAAACACACTCTGTATGTGTGTGCATTTGTATATGTATAAATCGAGTATATAACGCATATATAAATACATGCACGTACCATAGGTAATGCTGATGTGAACACATGTATAATATGAATATTCTGATATAATCCTTGATAGCATAGTTAAAAGTATTTTCTACATAAGCCTGATTAGGACACCTATTCAATGTAACAGGGACGTAGCTGAAGCTAAGAACATGATTCTATATCACAGTATCTCAGCTGCTTGCCATCTTACGTATTGCCTTTCATGTTTCTAACTTCATATCCTGCCCCATGGATTTGTGACCATACTTTCTTTCCTGAAGTGCTTGTTTGTACATTAGTGCGTCCCAAATGGACAGAATCGTGGACTCATACAGTTGGAGGATGTGGATGAAACCCTACTGGTGCCAGAAGTCCAGCTGGAGACTTCTGGCCTGGCTCTGAGAGTCTCTGAGTCTCAATTTCTTCACCTAGAAAACACAGAAATTGCAAATACACTGGGAAAGCACTTCGAAAATCGTTAAAAACAACTGAGAAGCAGCAATAGCTGTCGTACTGGGCTTGAGTAAGAGATTAACTTGGTCACTGCTATCGTTGCGATCTTTATGGAGTTTGGTGACAGGCCACACCTGGTGGTTACTACATGTACTATGAAGATGCTGCTTTGCTAGAATTCAGGAAGCCGTGGAAAAGGAGGTGATAGAAGAACAGCAGTGAGTATTCCAAGATGTCCTGTGGCTCGTTCGACTTGTAAAAGCAACCCAATGTTCTTTCAGAGTAAGACATCTCTAAAGTCAGCACATATTTGTGAGACAACATAGGGACTAAAAATGATAATAGTAATAATAATCAATATAAATAACTATAAAACTTTGCACTTGCATAGAACCTTTCATTTCAAGACCTTGAGGGACTTGTCAGAAGGTGTAAGGAAAATTTTTTTATTTTCATTTTTTGCTTTTTTCCTTCTGAGGAAAACATAACTGGGACAGAACATTCTTATTCTTTTGATCTGCCTTCAACAAATCTTTGCCCTGAAATTGTGCCACCCTCCTTAAACTAGATCCCTTTAAGTATTATCTCTTTTGTTCTCAGTTAAAATAAAAGATAACTTGCAAGTTTTTCTCCCACAGCAGCTGTCCAAACACAAACTTGTGTATGTGTTCAGGTTATCTCTGATGAAATCTAGAAGAGTTTGTACACATCTGCCCCTTCCTTGCTGTTTCACAGAGCTCCACAGTGTTGTAACAGTACCATGGGTCCTTAATATAATATATACATGTGCATGCATATATCATGGAGATATGGCTTTCATTATATATTATGTGTGTTCTAGAGGGGCTTGTTTTCACTGACAAAGAGAACAAATGCCTCAGCTCCCATCTCCTCTGGGCCAGTGCAGTCTGAAGGGACTGTAAGGTACGCCTCATCCAACCCCTTCACTTGACCACAGATACTGGTGGATTCCATTTTGTTCTCTGTTAATTTAGACTTTTGAGATTTTGATACTGGCTTCCAAACCCTATAAAGGAAAACAAAATGCTCCAGCATTTAATGGGCATAAGCAAAATCTAAACAAGAGCTCTTGCACCTTCAGAAACAAATAGTAAATAAAATGACCTAAGATGAATTAAAATCACTCCTTTCCAATCTGGCTGCACTATAAGGATGTCAGTTTAGCAAAATTCCCCTCACAGAGGGTAGCATATTTTCTTCAGGAGCAGAAATAGTTTCCCCCCTTGGCATGACTGATTCTCTAAATAACTGCAAATTTCTATTCAAAATTTCACTCTTTTCTCAAGACCAACGGCTATGCCCAGCAGCACACCTCCAATGCTCGGTCTTGGCACAGCCTCCCACTGGCAAAATGTGCCAGTTTTTAAAGTTTTTCTCTCTCTTTTTAATGGAGTAAATAAAACCAAAACCGCATATTGACAATGGAATACATCTGGAGTGAAACTGCTCTCCCAACCAGAGCCTACAGCAAGAGACTCAGCCAGTGCACACTGCACATGATGCTTGTGATGCGCCTAATGAGGCTTCCTGTTCCTCGGGGATGGATTCCACCTGTCCCAGAGTCCTGTGGGCTTCACTCAGATGAAGATACCCAGGTTCAGGGTCCACATTCAGTAAGACCCATCGCCACCACCTGCACCACGCCAAGAGGTTTATTTTCCCTGCTAAGGAATGCCATTAGCAACCCTCAGTCATGGAAACTATACCTTTCATGGATGTGCTCTACCTACCAAGGTCATGGTGCCTGGAGTGTTAGTCTCTGCACACAGGGTATTAATCGACAAAGACCATGCACAGTTTTGCTTGCACACTTAAAAGAACAGGTGGAAGTGGAGGGTTAGGATCAGAAGGCGGTGCTTGCTGTCTGAAATTCAATATAAGAGAGACTTGCCTCCAAATTGAGAGCTTGTCCTATTTGTTCAAGTCCTTGTTTCCCACCTGACCCTAAAATGATCTCTGAACCAGAATCTGCCTCTTTTCAACTGGACTTGACAAAGGCTTGGTCCATAACACTCGAGAAAGATCCCAGTGCTGTCATCATCATCAAGCAAGACAAGAGCACATGACCCGCTGTCCTGTGCCCCTAGAAGTCACATTTATTTTTCTCTGCTGCACACTAGCATGTCTGGAGATAGGAAAAGTCCACGGCAGAGTCCGACAGTCTGTGTACTCCTCAGAAGGTCCCCAGGGGAAGATGCTGAAAATGTTCTTCCAGTGAACGGTGGCTGGGTTCGTCCTAAGTTGGGACTGATGCCAGCTGATCCCAATTGTTGCCTTTGTTTTCCCGTACTGCAGTTTATAATAAATCTTCTCTCTCTGGTTTAATCTCCCACAGATAAAGTTTTCCCAGATTGAACACGAATCTTCCTTTTCACACACAGGCTTAGGCCATCCAAAAACAATATGAAGAGTAATAATAATAAATAAATAGAAGTGAATCCGTAGAAACTCTCAATGTCTGTACAGCAGAAGTGACAAAGTGTAAGTCAAATATTTGTTTCCCTTTTTTCATCCACATCAAAGGCAGGAATACAACAAGGCATTGTTAGTTGTGGTGGGCAAACTGGAGAGTCTGCTGATATAACAAATTAGGTTTCTTAAGGCCTTTGTCTATGCAGAGTTAATAGTAATGCAGAAGCCAGATTGATTAAAAAGGGAGAGGAAGAACTGTGAAGCCGGAAAACAAAAACAAAAGCAACAATAAAACAAGGAAAAGTATGAAAGAAAAAGAACAAAACAAACCAAGGGAGATGGAAAGAGAGAAAGAGATGCCGAAAAGGAGTCAATACTGCGTCTGTGGATGGAGAAGTCCACATCGCTTCCGTCTGAGAGCATTGCAGGGTCTCGTTAATACTGTCAGAGCTACCCGTTAACACAGGAGCCTCATGGCATCCAGCGGCAGTAAAAGATGTTCATCCTCTCGCCCATCTGAGGCGTGTGTTGGGAAGGAGCGGTCTGGGGAGAGGGCCCTAGCCTAGAATGTCCAGGTAGACTGGAGATGCCTTGGCCAAGTTCTGCAGGAGGGTGTGGATGCCCTTGATGCTCTTCCTCATGTGGGGCTCTCGCTGCCAGCACCCCAGCATCAGCTCATACACCTCCTGGGGGCACGTGCGAGGTCGCTGAAGGACTCGGCCCTGTGTGATGCACTCGATCACCTAGGAGCACAAAGAAGGGTCAGGCAGGGGCAGGAGGGAGAGCACGCAGTGCTGGGGAGTGCCTGGCCGAGAGGACTGAGGGAGGGCACCTTCTTCCTTCTTTCTTAGCTTTCCTTTTTAAAATTGCATATTACAGATGTGCCTATTTGTAGGGTATGACATGATAATTTGATACATACACAAAATGGTAGCAATTAAATCGGAGTTACTAGCATTTCTGTTTACCTCAATATTTATCTTTACTTAGTGTTGGGAGCCTTCCGACAACTCTGTTCTAGTTGGTCATGAAATGATACTCTTATTATTAGGGGCTCGATATCACTGCACTGTGTATCAGCTCCTCCTTAGGGACAGCTGGTTGGTTGCATTTTATAGACTGAGGGTGCCTTGTCCTCCCCTCTTCCGGTTCTCCATGGAGTACACAACTGTTGTGAACAGTAGTCGCCCTTGAGTGCTGTGCAGAGCACCAGGACTGTACTCTGGTCTCTGTCACCCACTGCTGTCTGTTCCCTTCTCCAATGCTTCCTAACCTCTAGGGAGAGGAGGCTTTTGAAAAAGAAGTCCACTTGCTGTTTATTTCTCTCAGAGGAAGAAAATGATTCTGTAGGTTGGTTTACATCATGGCTGCTTTGGTTTTTACTCACTTCTCAATCTACTCTGAAATCACAGAACTGGTGGAGAAATAATTTCATTACGGGTAATGCCCCTACAATTCAACAGCCAGCCCTATGGATAAGTTTTTCTGGCCTGAGATGGAACCTGAGTCACTTTTGTGTTAAAGTCCTGACTGATGAGGAACCCCAGGATACAGAAATGAGCAGGCATCTCTCATAATGGAATTGGATTAAAAAGACTGACACAGACCTGAAAATGATGTGAGATGCCTGTCCAAGACACTGTGCCTCAAATATAGACATACAGTCAGCCCTGTAGGCTCCACATCTGTGGATTCAACCAACTGCGGGTCAGAAGTACTCAGAAAAGAGCTGCGTGAGTACTAAACATACACAGACATTTTCATTGCCATTATTACCGAATAGAGTGCACCCCTATTTGCATTGTATTTGCTTGTGTTCGCTATTACAGGTAATCTGGAGATAATTTAAAGTAGACAGGAAGATGTGCATAGATTATATGCAGATACTGTACCACTCCCTGTAAAAGAGCTGAGCATTTTACATTTTGGTGTTGGGGATCCTGAAACCACCTCCCATGGATACCATGGGGTGCCCATATCTGCAAAAGGGTGAGAGTAAGAATACACAGTGCTTGATTTTTTCCACAAGTAATATTCTAGAGAAACTTACAGAAAGGAAAGAACTTCAAAAGTTCACTGGGGCAACACCAAACACCTCCCTGGACTCTAAGATTGCCGGTGTGCTCTGTGTGCTTTAAATCTATTAGATGAGCAGCACAAATGCGTCTCAGCTACATCTTTAGAAAAGCAAGGCTATATCTGTAAGTATTGGGCTTTCTGTCCTCCAAAACTTTTAAATTAGCAATGACTATACTACGAGCTGTCAGTACACAGTAGGCTTTCAGGCACACACAGCACTATTGGGGGAGTATGTATTCTGAGCCCAACAAAGCCATGCAAGATTGTGCCCTGACTTGCAGCCCAAGAGAACGTCCCCAGCTGAAAGATCCCTTGCGATTTCTGTCTGGGCTCCGGGGGGGGGGGTCTTTCCCAGACCTGCTGCATACCTCATTGTTTGACAGTTGGTACCAAGGTTGTTTGCCGTAGGTGAAGATCTCCCACAACACCACCCCCAGGCTCCAGACGTCACTCTCAGTGGTGAACTTCCTATACATGATGCTCTCTGGAGGCATCCAGCGGATGGGCAGCATCGTGTGGCCACCGACCTGGCAGGAAAGGGACAAAGGGAGACTCAGTCACTGTGAAACCAGGCCTGGAAGGGAGCTGCAGGGGTGGGGCGTGTTTTCTTCTTTCCTCATTGTGCATATTCATTATAATGGTTTACAAACACATAAAGAATGTATATGGCTTCTTTATCATCTCAAGCAACAGAAGCAGCGGGCAAAGAATGGTCCAAATAATCATTCTCATTCTCTCAGACCAGGAACAGAGACTATGCTTACACCGATGATGTTCATCTTGTATGTGCACACACACACACACACACACACACACACACACACACACATACACACACTCACCTCTCCAGGTAGGACGATGGCTCAGTGTTCTAATTAGCAAGGGGATTTGGGTCAAAATGACGAGTAAGGGGTTCTAGATCCCCAAAACCTGCACTGTCTCTCCAAGGCCAAGGTTTCCCTCTGCTTTCAGGGATGATGTGCGCACAGTGCTGGCAAAAACACCTTCACCTCCAGCAGCAGCCAAGATGGAAGTTTATCCGCATTTTATAGATAAAGCAACTGAGGTGAGAGACACTTCTGAACACAAGAAACTGAAGTCTTTGGCCGCTGAGCTCAGGACTCTTCCCCGCTACTTAGTTATGTACAATAATAAATACATTTTAAGTGACGATTTTATGGAAATGCTGAGGGTGAGGCATTAGCTGTCAATAGCAACAGCACAGGCCAAGGGAAATGAATTTGTCGAAAGTGACTTCTCTGTGATTTCATACTTAGGGTTCATGTTTAGCTGCCTGATTACCTCACAGTAGCCTGTGGTCCCGTTCCTCACCCTGGTGCTTTCCTGGCACTCCAGGTTTCAGCAGGTAGGCTATGCTGGAGCAGGAATCACAGCTGTTACAACTCCCCCTCCCCATTCAGGGCGTTTAGACTCTCAGTGCCTAGGGCTTCTGCCAGGTTCAAATTCAGAGCCCAATTGTGACTTATAGGAAGGAAATGAACTAACATGCCTAAAAACTGCTCCACCGCAAAGCCCAAGAGGCTGAATTCAGAGATGTCCAACATGCCCAGTGTTTTCAAAGAATGCCCTTACCACTGAAGAGAGCACATGAAAGTGCAAAGAGTTTCTCCCCATTTTTCTCTATAAATGAGTCCAAATGACATGCAGAGGCACAGCTTGCTGGCTGAGAGTTAGGGTTTCCTACATGTTTGAGACCAAGGCTCATAAAGGCCAAGCTTTCAACTTTGAATGAGACCAAGGCTCATAAAGGCCAAGCTGTCTTCAGCATTAGATTCCCTTGCTCCTTCTCCCTCGGCAGTGGCAGGGATTCTGTAGGGATTCAAGGAGCATACACTTCTTTTCACAGATCTGTCTGAAGGTGGCAGCAATATTTCCCCTTAGGCTCCCCATCCAAACTACAGCCAGTCAGAAAATACACAGGTGGTGACTACAGTATCAGTCCTATTCACAGCCCTGAGATCCCTGAGGACCTGGGACGCTGGCCATGGAAACTTTTAATACATGGAGAGGATCCAACATTTCCAGATTCTCAGAAGCATTCAGGCCATGAGGGAAGAATAGTCCCACCAAGTCCTTGCCAATGAGAGGGCTGCTCTATTGCCAGGCAAAGACTGGCTCTGCCCTACCACAGAGCCTTAGATGCCTTCCCTCTCTCTGCATGGCAGAAAAGGCTGAGTAGTTTGGCATATTCATCTTCAGAAATCAGTGACCTCTGAGCTCCTTGCCATTCTCTGAAACCATACCTGGAGAGCACTGTGTGGTTTACAAAACCTCTCTCCGTGGCTTCACCTAGTTTCATAAATATAGCAAGAAATACTTGGGATTCACGGTGGCATCTCTAGTCTACAGATGATGAAACTTCTCCCGGGTGTTAGAGACCTTGCCTAAGGTCACATTTCTGACACTTGGTACAGATATGACAGGGGTCAGCATGTTCCTACAGACCATTTTCACCCACTATGAAGGTCCAAAATATGGTGCTTCTCTGCTTGACTGCTGTGCACAAACCAGGATAGGACAAACACTGAAGAAAAAATACTTCCTGCCCTTGTGGACTTTGTTCTTATCTTGCCCATCTTAGCCTTTTCCCTTATAGTGAAGAGCTCAGAAGTCACCCATCCCGGCAGCCTGCATGGGAGCAGCTAGCTCAGTTGTACCTTTCTTTGTCAATGCTCGTTTGCATCAGAAGAAAGAAACCCCAGCGGTCAAAGTGATCTATAGAAGTGGAGGCGCAGTAAGGACTGGCTTTGTCTTCTGTTGCTGAGTTGTGTTATTTAAACACCTGTGAAAAGGAAGTTTCCTGGCGGACAAGTGAAAGTATCTGCTAATCTTTCTGACAAAAAGCTTGGAACATAAGGGAGGCATTAATCTTTTGGAAGGAATGGATTGCTTCTTGCACAGTTTCTTTCTGCAAGAGCTATTTAGTGATGTGACAACTTGAATTTTACAGAAATCATTAAAAAGTCTTTAAAAAAGAGCAGGCCTCTTTACAGGGTAGAGAGGGCTTTGGAGCAGCATTAGCAGGGTACTAGGTTTTTAGTGAAAACGATTCAATTACTTCTTTTATGGAAGTAATGAGATTAGAATCGGGATGTGTGGTCAGTGTAGAATTGGAGTGCGAAGGTAATAAGGGCACTGTTGGTCTGGGGGAGCAACATGAGGGCTGGGATGCGGCGACCCAACGTGGATACCAGGCCTGTAAGAGTGTTAAAAATTAGCTCTCTCCAAAAGTTCCTGGGTCAGGTGTATCAAATATGCTGTAATCTGCAGCCCTCTTTGCTTCAATAAATTTATAATGCACAGAGCTGCATTAAGGCCTCAGAGGAATTCATCAGGAAAGAATGGCTTTAAGTTTAACCCAATGAATTAAACCAGTAAGAATATGTTTGTGTGGGAGAGGATAACTACTCATATAGGTCTCCTACAACCAGACATTTAAAAATGAGATTTGTTAGAGAGAGCGAACAGGCTTTGTGTATCTACCTGGGCCTGCCATACCGGACAGTACACCGCTTGACGCTAATTCCTGACCCTGAAAACTCTGGGCTCTGACAACACACAGAAATCTCCTGTTTGGTAAACTTGGCTAACTACCAAATCTCTCTGTGTCCTGGTCTCTCCAACTATAAATTAAGGGTAACAATACATACCTCCCCAGACCGTCACAAGCTAAATTCCCAACAGCTATATGTGCAAATGCTTTATAAATCTTAATACACTAAAGGCTTTCAAGGTGTTGGCTCCTCTCTGGAGCCTTGACTCTCATTTTCTCAGCTGGCAGCAGTCATTCTGCAATTCCTAAGGAGAAGAGCCAACAATAGGACTGTCCCTATTCTTCATCTGGCAGGGACCAAGTGGCTGCTTTGACTACAACTCCCAGTTTATCAGGTGCACTGCCTGTGTTGCTAATCAGTGAAAAGGCTCCTGTTTCTTCTAAAAAAAAAGAGGGAAAAAGATTCACATTTTGACTTACACATTTCCCCATCTGGTCATTTATTTTCTGTTGCAGTCTCTTTGGGACAGATTTTTCCCTTTCATTCTTTCAAGAATCTCTTTGGGGATTTCATACATGCTCTTGTAAAGAATGTTCTCCTTGTTCAGAAGTCAAACGGGTGAACGGTGGGACAATCCAATGAGAGTTCAGGCAGGGTTCACTGGTTTTCTAAACTCATTTACAGCATTTCGGAACATTTCTTTAGCAACCTTTTCCTGAGGATTTTGGAGCATGTCACAAGAGCAGACGCCCCCAAAATGACTCACTGTTGTTACAAATTACTGTCGTACTTTTGTCACAGACTCTGATGGCTTTTGAGCCGCACAAAACATACACTGTGTGGCAACAAACACAATGAGACATTTGTTTTGCATTGTGCTACTTGGCAACCTGCCCTCATACCCTTGCTTAAATATTTGTGAGATGGAATGTGATCGCAATCCCGCCACTGGAAGCCAGAATTTCTGCCCTTCACTGCTCAGTTCGCCGTGGTGCCTCAGGGGTTCTCTGGTGGACAAGCTGGGGCAGGTGCCTGCTCTTTACTAAACTAGCCAGACTGTACTGAGGCAAGACGGGAAATCTAGTCACACGGGAGCTCATCTGGACTTGCAGTTCTTGTTTTCTTCAACTTAAGAGAATTCTAGCTGCCGCTGTGTTATTAATCAGCTGGTCCAGTTCTCATAGGTCTGGCTTATCTCTTTATTGGTCAAACGCGAAAGGTTAGGGCAGCTCTTGGTTACTTGTACCAAAAAGCACTGGTTCTGTAATAACCCTCTGCCATACTGCCAACACAATCGTCCACCACTGTGCAGTGTCTCATATTTTGCAACGAATTTCCTCCCAGTTGTCTCACTTGCACCCAAAGTCTACCCTCCGGAGTAGACCTTGCCTTGCCTAGATAGTGTAAATATTGTCTCTAAAGCCATATGCAACGTCCCTGCCCACTGGACATCTTATACTCATCCTAAGGGGTCACTCTGTGTGTCTGGTTTTTCCAGCCATTAACACACACCCTGTGTTAGCCAGTGAGCAGAGTTGTAGCTCTTCACCAAGAGGGAACTAAGCTTTTTTAGAAGTTTTATCTCTTCTTTTTCCCTACGACCCAAGGAGTATCTACAGGCAGGGTTAAGCCCTACCATTTCAAGGATACCTCCATGCTCCAACTCAGGCACTGTTCTAATATTCTTACTAGAGCTCTGGAAAACCACAGGCACTCCCTTCTGCTCATGCATTTTATGTTTGAGAAAGGCATCAGCCCCTCTGGTAGGCACTGAGTGGGTTGGTTGGTAAGCAAACCACATCTTAGAGTAGGTTTCTTGGGAAGGTTATTATATAGGAAGACACCTTCAGTGTGTTCTTTCAAAAAGATCAGTCTTCACTCCCCTGCTGCCCATCCTCTGATCGCTCCTCTGAATTCTTGATAGCACTAAGCCTTACACTAGAAGGATGGAAACAGTCTCACCTGTTTGAGGCCACAAATAAGGACTGTTTAATGAAATGCATCGCCCCTTA